TGTGCAGTACCGAAAGCAGCGCCTATTGGAATGACACAGTCTCTTTGGGGCTTGATCCGAATAGCACCTCCAGCGCTATTTAAACCAAGGCCTCGAGCTTGCTTTGCCCTGGACTGCACAACCGTTGCGTCGCTGAACTCAGCACCCGTCTGTTTTTACCTCTGCTGATCTGAATTTCAGAGTAACCGCGGCTTTGCTTTGGATTGCACAGTTTTTGCCTACCCAGATCCGGACTCATAGCAGCTCCTGCAATTTAGCTGCTGAGCGTTTGGCTCACTTACAAACATGTTGCCAGGATCTATCCAGATTTCTGGGGAGACGTTATCAAGTGCTGAGATTCGGGATATCTGTGAGAGCCTGCGGGAGAACTCCATCAAACTGCTTTCCCTCCGGGGCTGTCAGCTTTCTGACCGAGATTTCGGTCGCATCTGCAGGGGGGTGGCAGAGTCTCACTCCTTGGCTCAGCTCAATCTTAACTTGGGCATTGTCTCGAACATCAACCGGGTCAAGCAACTGGCGGAGGCCCTGAAGGCCAATCGCTCTGTCCAGTCTTTGTTGTGAGTAGTAACTCCACTAACTAGGGATCAGGACTCCGATGGTGAAATCCCTAGTGGAGGGTTTGCAACACTGTTCACTTACCCCTGTAAACACCTTGGAATCATTATTTTTGCTCACATAGTTAGGTTCCATGGTGTCTTCTCTCAACCTTACCAAAAAGGTTTTTAAAAGACCAACATGGTGCTTCCGATCCAAATGATTGTGAGATACTATAGCATAATTCACCCAAAATAAACTGAATAATTAGTTATTCCATAAATCTCCTTATGATAAAGTAGGAAGCTGTTAATTTTTTACAAAGCTAGCTTTACTCATCAGGTAGACCAGAGGGAAAGCAATCTCTGTTGTGGGAAGGAGCAACTAAATTGCGTTGAGAGCTTGAGGAATGTGTCCTATAATGTGAAGTAATTCTGATTTGTGCCTTCTATTATATGTCTGTTTAAACAGAGAAACCTTAAACTTGTCCCCAAAATGGTTTTGATGGCAGAGGGTGGCTCAAATCAAATACTGTGAAAATCCCGCTACCACCACTTCATGAATTCTGCCCCAATTGTTGTGCCCTGTAGCTACCCAAGTGCTTATGCCTCATCTGTTTGAATATCAATGTTCTTTAAAGCTGGACTTTACGGAGACTTATCAGAGAAAAATATATCCATGACATTTGCTGTTTCAAGGTTGGAGGTGAGGGAATAGCTACATATCTGACTCTGAGGCAGATTCTTAACCTTCTTAGCCTCCTGCAGCAAGAACGAGACCAACAGATGCATTGTGGTCTGCGCTTTGCAGTCCAGAGCCTGCTAAAGAGAATATTTCTAGTAGATATTTGTTTGTGTCTTATTAAATGGGCTTTGGCTCGTCACAAAAGCTTTGACACACTGTATGTGTTAGTCTTTAAAGTGCCATGGGGACATGTAGTTTTCTCTTATCCCAGTAAGCAGACAAAGAGCTTTTCTGTACAATCTTATTGATGTGGCTCGGCTTGTAATAAACTGCACTGTTTTATCGCCAAAGAGAGGCAAAATCTGCCTGATTTCATCTCCCCAGGCTGCTTTTAACATGGTGCACTCTACTATCTCTGTGTGTCCCCCCCTGCTTTAAGGATTCTTCATTCAAATGTAGTTTCGCTCCATTTTAGCCTGGTATTAATCATTCTGTATTTTCTTCTCACCATTTCTTGATTCTGGTTTAAGTTGGATGATATCGGCAGCAACTTGAACCCAAAGGAAGGAGTTTGTAATGCCTGATATTTCTGTTCACGTAGCCTCCACGGGAGTCCCCTGACAGATGCTGGCCTGGCTCTCCTCAACCCAGCACTCTCCATTCATCCCTCGCTAGTGGCCTTGGATTTGGGAGACTGCATGCTAGGTGATGAAGGCATCAACTTGATCTGTGGGCTTCTCCCTCCTGATGGCGCCAAGTCCGGTGAGTAGGAGAGTAAGTGTAGAGGTGGCTCTGGATTTCATAGGTGCTTCACACCTTTGTTCAGACCAGACTGTCCTCTTTCCTTGCAGAACATATGAGTATTTTCTGGAGGAATTGTGTCACCCTAGTGAAGTTATTCTGTTGGCTGAGGGCTGGGACCCACACAGTGCAATTCTGTGCAGTCACTCCAGTCTAAACCCCTTGATTTCAATGGGATTAGAGTGGAGAGACTCTGCATAGGACTGTACAGAGAGCTGAGGATGAGATTTCAAATTTACCAACAAGAGAACTATGCATAGCCTTAGTATGGAATTCACCAGTGCCCCTTTTACCAAACACAGTGTGGTGGAAGGTGCTATCAAGTCGCAGCTAACTGATCCCATAGTTTTCAAGTTGAGAGACAGGGTTCATTTGCCATTGCCTGCCTCTGTATAGCGAACCCTGGATTTAGTCATCATAATTTATATTTTTGCAGCTCACACTTGATACTGTGATAGAATAGGCAAGTACAATCTACTCTGTCCAAAATACCCTTTGCTGTACTGTCATCCTTTGGAGCTGTCCAGGAGTATCACTGCATGTTCTTTTGCTGAAGGAACACTCCTGTGTACATTTCAAGGCAAACGTGTTTTGAGTGAATATTGGAGAAAGGTGGTATGGATCACAGACACTCTGGCTCAACATACAGAACACCCAGAAACCTGTTTCACGTACAATTGTGCCTTGATGCCCTCCAAGTAATCCATGGCTGGCTCCAGGCCATGGGGGAACTCATATTTGATGTAGCTGCCATCCTTTCTCATTCTTGATTTACTTACTATTTTTAAGTCACATCACACTAGAATTGCAAGATCAAAACCCAAAAAGTGTGTGTGTGTGTGTGTTCTGTCGGGTTTGAGACTTCAGGGTTTTGAATGAAGAACATCTGTTTAGAAGAAACATTGTGCCTGTCTGCCTGCTCCTGTCTAGTCATCCTCTTTTCTCACAGAGGCTTTCTCTCTTGCTCCTTCTGTTTCTTTCTTCCATAAGTTAGCATTTAGTCCTCCTATTTCTATATTATTGATAGGTGTGCATCCACTTGAGAAAGGAATCAGATAACTGCCTTCAGTATGGACAAATGGCACCAGGCAGTATTCCATTGGAAAACTGTCTCTACAGGGACTAGGTAAACATTCTACTATACCTATAATGGTGTGGGATGTTATTCAGTATTATGTGATCTCCCTAGTCACTGTGGTTAGCGTAGGGCCCATTCACACAACCCTTTTTTTGTCTTCACAATCAGTCCCAGCTGTTGTCACAGCTGCTCAAAGGCAAATGTAATGCATAAACCAAGCAGTTAGCAGCAGTTTTTGTGATTGTCAGAGCCGGAGAAATCTTTGTGATATAAATTGGGGAACATATCAGATTCTGAGAGTTCACAAGAATAAAGGACTGGACTGGAAATGGCCAGTCCTATAATTGTTTATTTACTTTATTTATTAGACAGGAGGAAGATGGCTCAGGTGGCAGATTTACAATGCTAATGGTCAGCTGCTATTATATTTTTTACCACCATGTAGACTCTGTTCTCTGGCCACCAAAATGCTTAGGTAACTTCTGCTCTTAAAAAGTGTTGGATTCATTAATTTTACTTCTGTCCTTAATGCTTCAGGAATAAAATATGGGTTAATATGTTATTCTGTAAGCAAAAGAAATCTATTCTTTTACTGTGCTTTAAGCACCCCGGTTAGTTGAATGAAAGAATGGTCAAAATATGTTAAGGGGTTAATGAACCTGTGTTGGGTGCCTAAGAACAAGCATAAAATACACAGTGGTGATTATAATCCATATCCACATAATCCACTAGTAAAGACTAACAGCTTTACTGAAGCATAGACTTCCATGGGCTAGAGTCAGCTTCATCAGACAGATGAAGAGAATCCTCATTTAGCACTTATATATGCATACAGAAAGGGGGGGGGGGATGTGAACAGTGGGTTGAAAAGGCATGAAAGGAAAGACATCGTTTGTGATATGCGTCTGCTTTGTTTACTTCATTCATATATTGCCTTTCTCCCCAGAGGGGATCCAAAGTTGCTTACATTGTTCTCCTCTCTCCATTTCACGCTCACACAACCACCACCTTCTCTGAGGTAGGTTCGAGAATCTGAGTGAGACAGAGAGACTGGCCCAAGGCCACCCAGTGAGCTTCCGTGGCAGAGTGGAGATTCATACCTGGGTGCCCCGGATCCTAGTCTGACACTCTAACCACTGCATCACACTGGCTCTCAGTAGGCTCTAGCTCCTGAAATGCTACGTTTCAAGAAGTCTGTTAGTTTTTAAGGCACCACGAATCCACCTTTTGTTTGCTGCAACAGACCAACACAGCCAGTTCTCTGGCATTTGTAACCCACACATGTGATTCTGGAGGCAGAATAAGTCAGTATATACTTTCCATTGTCCTGACCTGGATGGCCCAGGCTAGCCCAATCTTGGAAACTAAGCAGGGTCAACCCTGGTCGGCATTTGGAGGAGAGACCATCAAGGAGGTCCATGGTTGTTACGCAGAGGCAGGCAATGGCAAACCACCTCTGTTAGTCTTGTGCCTCGGAAGCCCTGCGGGGGTTGCCACAAGGCCGCTGCAACTTGGCAGCACTTTACTTTTACACACACGCATGCGCGGCATTGATCAGTCCTGAATGAGAGGGAGACCAAGTTGTGACTATTGTCGTCTAGGCTCATCTGGCTTCTCTGTTACACATAGGTTTGAAGGAGCTGACCCTCAGTGCCAATCCTGGCATCACAGCCAAAGGATGGGGCCGTCTGGCTATTGCAGTGGCTCACAGTTCCCAGGTGCGAGTGTTGAACTTGGACTACAACCCTCTGGGTGAGAGAAATGCAGACACATGGTTCCCCCTCCCTCTTTTTTTATACCAATGGGGTTTTGTTGCATTGATGCCAGAGGCTGCACGTTGAACTAGATTAAGCCAATTTAAGCTTAACATTTTACCTGGAGCTCTGACTCTCCTCAGTAGGGAGGCCTGCACTGAGGGCAGTGTTCCCTCTAAGCTGAGTTAGTGTGAGCTAGCTCACAGTTTTTTAGCCTCCGGCTCACACTTTTTTGTCTTAGCTCAGGTAGAATGGCTCCAGAGCAAACTAATTTATGCAGTAGCCACATCGCTCGCTCACAACTTTAATGCCAGTAGCTCACAAAGTAGAAGTTTTGCTCACAGGAGGACTCCACAGCTTAGAGGGAGCATTGACTGAGGGTATTAGGTCTCCAGGGCTCAGGGCCATGAGGCTGCCACCATTTAAAAGTCATTTAAAAATGCCACAAGGGCCCTTGGGAAACAGCATTCTCTTCTTTCTCCTCCCCCCCCCATGCCATTACAAGTGCTATGGGGAGGGGTGGCCATTTTGGCACTTGATAAGGTGTGTGTGTGGGGGGGGAGATGAAAAAGAGCACCTTAGCCAGTTGCGGAGCATTTTTAAGTGACTTTAAAAGGGTGGCAGGCTGGCCGCATCCTCACGGTGGCTATGAAGACATTGTCACATCTAGTTTGACCTTCAGTAAGTCCCTCCTGCTTGAGTTTGCCTCTGAAGTGGGAAGCACTTGGGCCGGAACCAAGTTTTCACTTTTTAAATAAAGAATCTCTAGTCCACTGCAGAACCCCTGTAATTTAAAATATAAAAACAGGCATTTGTCATAGCCCAAGAATATGGGATGATGGTCCACCATGTTTTACCAAAGAGGAGACTTACTACCAGTCATGCTCAGCAGAGGGAGTTCTGTAATTTAAAATATAGAAGAAAACAGGCATTTGTCATAGCCCTAGAATATGGAAGCATATGGGACGATGGTCCACCACGTTTTACCAAAGAGGAGACTCACTACCAGTCATGCTCAGCAGAGGGAGTTGCTTGAAGACTAAAGAGCATCTGGCTGGAAACCACTACAACTGAGAGCAGCTCCTCCTCTTTACAAATGTGGTAGTGCCTTCATTTTGGACATTTTCTTTCCACTCCTTTTAACATCCTCCTTCCCTCATCTTCAAAATACAGGAGAGAGAAAAGGAGCTCCCGGAGTGGTTGCTATGGAAACCAGCCCTCGCTGCAGCTGCATTGCCTGAGCAGAATTGGCAGCTGGTGAGATAGAGACTAGACCAGGCAGCTCTCTTCTCCCCATCCTGCCTCAGGGAGACAAAGGCAAGCAGCTCCTCAGCACACCCCACCTGCATCTGCCCTTTCTGTGGGTGAGGCGTGTCTTAGCTCTGCCTCTCCTCTGTGAACTCATGCCTTGTGAAATGAGAGGTGCCAAGGCTTACGCCTGCTGGAAGCTGTGCCTTTTGGCCCAGAAACCTTGTCTCCTGACATAAGATGGGGCTGCCTGTGCTTACTCTGCAGTGAGGGAAAAACATTCTGTGCATGTGCAGGTGAATGGCTTTGATTCCTCAACCAGCCTGAAGCCAGGAGAAAAAACAGTGCAGACAAATGAATACAGTTCCTCCCTTTCTCTGAAGAACTACTGCACTTGCACCTTTACCTTGTAGAAATTAAATGACTCTGCAGTGAGGGAAAAACATTCTGCACATGTGCAGGTGAATGGCTTTGATTCCTCAACCAGCCTGAAGCCAGGAGAAAAAACAGTGCAGACAAATGAATACAGTTCCTCCCTTTCTCTGAAGAACTACTGCACTTGCACCTTTACCTTGTAGAAATTAAATGAGGTACAGTTTGCGAGCAAGACCGATGACGAGAGAGGCTGCTAAAGGCACAGATAGCTGCCCCCAAAGTCTGTGGCCTGGAATGGGTGTGTGGGACATGGCCTGCAGGAGATTTGCTGACTTCTCCTGGCTTTCTGCTCCCTAGGTGACCAGATAGCAGGGATGCTGGCAGTTTCTGTGGCATCCAGCCGCACCTTAGAGGTTCTGGACTTGGAAGGAACAGGACTTACCAACCAATCAGCTTTGGTAAGGGGAGTGTGGCCCTTTGTCACTTTCATTTCCACTTCCAGATCATAAGAGTCAGCATACTAGTTTGTCAGTAGACCTGTGCTTCTTCTGATTGGGTTGGATCAAGCACAGCATTTCCACAGATGGAAGGGTTTCTGCTACAAAGTTTGATTCTTATAGATCCCCCTCTCCCATGGCAGCCCAAAATGCACAGCCATATCCTGTTCCTGTAGGGGGGCATTTTCCCACAGGAAAGGAAATTCAGGGAGCATTTCAAGCTGCTGCAGAAGGGAGATACAAACATTGTGCCAAACATTGTGCTGCATCTAACTTACCAAATATAAAATTTTGTCTCTCATGGTCAGGAAGCTTTCCCTGCTGAGATTTTTTGGATTGAGCTTTCCTTCTCTGGAAATGCCAGAAATTGCTGCAACTACAGAGATATAGGGCATTAGTCAGGGGTCCTACTGCTACAAGAGATAAGGACATTTTCTCTAGAGTTGTGTATGCACAGATGTGCCTTATTGCTCAGAGTTCAGTTCTCATCCCTGCATGTGGAATGAAGAAAAACAACCCTAAGTAGAGCACCTGAGCTGCTGACACTGCTGGCTTGATCCAGATACCACAAACAAACCAGAGTTTGTGGCAAACATGAACCTGGTTAGTTGTTGGGCTCACATGCTCCCTTCCCTTGTGTGCTGCAACATGATTTGAGTATATGAGTGACACAATTATACACACATCCACACCCATAGAAAGTTGGTTGTCCTAAGACACTTCTGGCATCTTAGACCTCAGAGGCCTCCTGCTGTGCCCTTTAACTGGTCTAGTGAGAGCCTGGAGGTTTCAAGTAGCGCATATACTAGCATAGGGCAGCATAAGGGGTGGACTTTCAAATTCTCTGGCACTGTAACTGCCCTTCTCTTTTGTCTGGACCACAGTACAACCTTTTCCTCCAGCTCAGTACCCATTAATGTCTATTTCCAGCCAAGCCTTTCATCTCTTCTGCTTTGTTTCATTCCACAAATACAATCCAGTTCTGAGGTAACATTTGGCAGTCATGGGATGACCTTCAGAAGCAGGAAATGATGTTATCCACCTAAATTTTCCAGACATAACCTATTGGGAAATAAAAACAAAGGTCACAAGTGACATAGCCATGGTTAATGAGAAAGGTTCCTTTTACTGTAATAGCTTTGCTTTATTGGTTTTATTTATTCTTGTCTTAATGCCTTATAGGATACTTTTAGAGAAACGTAACGATATACCGCTACATAAGCTGATATTTTGTTTTTACCAATAAGAGGTTAGAAGTGGAATTCTAAGGCATGAGGGTGCAGAGATTTAAAAGTGCGTAAAGCAGATGTGCATCCCTTGATACTCACCTTTTTTTGGTCTGGCCTTTAAGCTGAGCTGTTTCTACAACTGCTTTTCGGGTCTCCTTTTAATTCAGATTTTGCTAGACATGGTGGAAAACTACCCAACAGCCTTGAGGACACTGATCCTAGCAGAGAACAACATCAGTCCTGAACTGCAGCAGCAGATCTCTGACCTTCTATCTGAGGGTGAGGAAGAGGAGGAGAACGAAACTCGTGAAGTAATGGCCAGAGAGAAGAATTCGTGGATCTGCCAGAGCAGTAAGACTTCAGGAATATCATTGAGGAGGAGGAGAGGAAACTAGAAGGGGTGGGGCACGAGAAAAGGGGACATTGAAGAAGAATCATAGTTCAGGTTGCTGTGTGAAGAAGAATCATAGTTCAGGTTGCTGTGTGTGTGTGGATTTTTAAGATCCAAGGTCCCAAAACTGTAACCCTGCAGTAATTATTTTGTACCCCAAGGAAAGCTTTTTGGCTTTTAAAAATTTAAAATATACCTTAGTACTTACATATAAAGTGGCTTTATACTGAATTATTTACATTATTTATAGTCCCCTTTCTCAGAAGGACTCAAAGTTTGGTCCACTTAGCTCAGCACTGGCTGAACAACAGTAGCAGTCCCAGGCCCTGGGCACTACAAGGTCTTTCCAGAACCCCATTACCCCATAATCCTTTAAGAACTGGCAGTCTTAGCTATGGGTGTGTGTGTGTGTTTACAACTGCCACTGCTGCAGCAGTGCCGTGACTTATGGGTGTGTGTGTGTGTTTATCTCTGCCACTGCTGCAGCAGTGCCGTGACTTGAACAGCATCAGCAAACAACAGAGGCTGGGCTCCCAACCACCATACAACTGCCCTGGCCATTCCTGCAGGCCCTTAGCTCAGTTGCTGTTGGCTTCTCCATGTCTCAGTCCTGCCTTGTTGCCAGCAGAGAGGGATGGTGCAGTCAACCGTCCTCACTTTCTGGCCAGCCAGCACACCAAGCTGCAGCTGCAGGGAAGAAAGTGGCACATAGGCACAAGACAAGAGCATCACATGCTCCCTTCTTTCCACCCATGGCCCATGCAGCAGCTGTCTACATATACTGTGTGCCACCTGCTACTGCCACACCGAACCATTCATAGCTGACTGAGATATATGACGGCAGGAATAAAATGGGTGAGGGAGAGGCCATCCTTGACTTTTGCCTAGGACCCCAGACTGCCCCTGCCTGTAACTGGGGATGTCAGATTGATCCTGGGATCATCTACATGTGCTCTGTTGCTGTGTCCTTGGCTCCTCCCCTCGAATGATGTAAATGTTCCTGAGGCAGTCTGAAACCTTCTCTTTGGCATCAGATCCCTTGACAACATTCAACATGAACCACAGCCAGGACCTTGTGCCCAATTAAATCCAGGTGTTTTTGGAACATGCTCCACAGTTAATGTTTAAGATAAGGATCAGTAGGACTGATAGAGCCTGCTTGGACAAAAAATACAGACAGTTCCCAGTTATTTTTGATGCAATAGTAAAGGTAAAGGTTTCCCTTGCTCGAAAGCCAGTCAAATCCGACGTTAGGGTTGTGGTGCTCATCTCCGTTTCAAAGCCGAAGAGCCAGCGCTGTCCGAAGACGTTTCTGTGGTCATGTGGCCAGCATGACTAAACACCAAGGCGCACGGAATGCTGTTACCTTCCCACCAAAGTGGTACCTATTTATCTACTTGCAATTTCTTGCTTTCGAACTGCTAGGTTGGCAGGAGCTGGAACTAGAGATGGGAGCTCACTCCATCATGCGGCACCCGGTTCTCGAACTGCTGAACTACCGACCTTCCACAGCCTGCAGTTCAGCGTCTTAACCACTGAGCGACCGCAGCTCCTATTTGATGCAATAACAGTGCTTTAAAAAAACCATTCAGCCATTGGTTTGAGGGATTTAAAATATATCTAAAAGAAATAGTCTTCCCATGAAGTATATCCTAGTGAAGTATATCCTAATTGGATAACGTATTTATTAGTCTCAGATGCCTATTAGGTAGAAAAGTGCTCTTGCCTCCGTGCAGTGAGAGTTATAAGAAATAACTGACCAAGGTATCTCTGGATCCAGACTTGATTCCCATTTACTAGGGCTTTCTCTGAATTATATCTTTTGGCAGATGAGGACAGGTGATATATGAATTACAAAGCAGCAGGCAGCATGTCCCTAAAGGAATTCTGATACTATGATTTTGAAGCACCAGTTTCCTTGGTTACAGTGGAAGATAGACTGGTTCTTTGTATAGTCATACATAAATGGTACAGCAGCCCAGTTGCCTATGGCAACAGCACATACCAATTCCACACCAAAAAAAAACCCTCCACCTTCTATGTGGTCATGATCTAAGCACATTAACTCTGTTCTCTGTGAAGATGTAATGTAACTAACTATTCACCTGTCCCCACTTACTTCCCTTAGGAATACCTTGTTTAATGGTTCCTTTACAGCTTTGCCTGTTATAGACCCTGTGCTTCTGGGCCAGGGTACATACTTCAGTTAAAATTCACTTTTATTCACTTTGCAGATTCCAGTTCCCAGATGGTCTTGGTAACGTCAGGCCTTGGAGAAAGTCTACTAGCAGAAACAGAGATGTGAAACATAGGAAATTCCAGGTGCCTCTAATGAAAAAAACATTTTCATGTATGTGAAAAAAGTGTGTGTGTAGACTCATGCATTCACACAATTGTCACGTGTGAGTGCGTGTTGTGGGTGTGTGCTTTTGCAAGTGAGTGCATGTACCAGGCAAACAGATGGGTGTGTGAAATCTTATACTCATATGTGCAATTGCCATGCCTGCCTGCAGCTTCACACACTTTGTGAATGTCTTATTGAAGTCACCTTTTAGCTCTCCCAATGGAACCTGAACCAAGTTAATCCCGACATAAATGTGTGTCCCACAACCTGTTGGTTGCTTGTGATTGTCCATTTACTGTATTTTTAAGCTCACGCCACCCATTCTTGACTGATCTTTGGGGAGGCTGTATTTATTCAGATATGTATATTTATGTATAACAGATACTCTTTCTATTGCTTGTAACAATGTCTTGAGTAGGATTTTATAAAGTTCACAGAAACAACACAATTGTGACTGAAAGAGGACCTCATTTCAAAGTAGGCAGGGGGTGGAGAGCTTTAATGGGGAAAAGCAAGACTGGGGCAGCTGGCAACAGCCCCGTGATACTGAATGTTTAGAAACTCTTGTTTTGTGCTCCGTCACCAGGCATATTAAGAATGCAGCTTGGCATCAGCATTTGTGTCAGATTACTGGAACAAAATAGCCCCCCCTTTAAATGGAGTTAATTTGTGCCCCATCATAGTCAGCCTGTGAACCCCTTAGCAAATCTGAAGTCCAACATACAACTGCCACAAGTGAACTCTGGCCGATATCATTGCGTTCCAACATCGCAACAGGACATCAGAGGCAAACTGTGTCAAGCAATGGCACAGACCAGAATCCCAGCAATAAAAAAAAAAATCTCATGCAAATATTTATTTTATTAGATTTATATACCACCCTCCCCAGATGGTTCTCAGGGCGGTGGAGAGCAGTTGAATAATACACTTAAAAATATTTTAAAAATATTGAAAATATTTATTATATTGCTGGTACTTCTCTAGGAGTAGGACTACTACATTTATTGTTAGTGAATTAAGTTATCTGACGTACTGTTTACACTTACTCTTCTAAAGGAAGAGACCCCTCAGATGAGTTTGTTGACAAGGTTTTCTTGCATTTTGTAGTTCAGGGTGTCACTTTTGTACACACCCCTTCCTGCCTTCAAGGAAGCCATTTTTTAAAAATAAGATCAGTGCAGATGGAAGCTGCATATTGATTCCATTCACTGGCTAAGGAAGACACTTTCTGGTTGGACATCCATAGGCTTCAGCCAAAAGCCTTACTTGCAGTAGCTTTAGAGGTAACAATATTAGAGTACAGGACTTAAAAATTCAAAGCCGAATTGAACTGAAAATTCCTCTCCACCTTAGTATACCAACAATGGCATAATTAAGCCACTTTTCATATCCGCTGATTTATTATAGTTAAGTAGCAAGATTACTGTTCACCACCTCCTGGAATTTTTGCAAAACGTAGCACAATTTAAGCAGCATAGTAAGGTATAGTCTTGCTGCTTGCCTATATAAGTACGGCAGAGCATGACCAGACTGTCACTATGATATAAAACATTGGAGTCACTTCACCCATAGAACCTTTCTTGGTGTCACAAACCACTAGGAGGCAGCAGTGTCCTACAGTTTCCAATAAAGGACTTTTTCTGGCAAACACCCGCTGCTCCCAATTTGTAGAACAGCATCCAGCTAAGAAGGGTGAATGATCACACTGCTGTTTATATTGTAATTTATACTGGGGCACAACTGTTCCCACCATTGTTCTGTGAATTGTTTTTGCACACTGATAATTATGCAGGCAATACAATACCAATGAACAGGCCACCTAGCAGAAAGGGCAACGTTTCCCTGGGGCTGAGATACTGCATTTTGATGGCTTGAGAAATGTGATAACCCTGCAGCAGGAGTGCAGTTTTTTTGGAAAGACTGTGGAGTAAAAGTGAGCATCAGCTGTGCACTTTACTTTTGCAAGTTGAGCTGTGAGATTCTTAGGGTCATGATGCAGAGACATACTTTTAAAATAGTTTATTTCTGGCTTTAAAATATACATCAGTTTGAAAATCTCAGAAAAAAACACATTAGTCACAGATTAACAGTCTTGAGTTGGGACACTGTGAAACACGGGGCAGCTGAAGAAGGCAACTCAAGCTCCCCAAGAGAACTAATACTGCCAAGGACAAGCAAAATACAAAGAGCTGCACCACAGAACTGCATCAAGAGCTTCAGAAGGAAAGCTGCATTTCTCGGAGGCTTTGCTACCACCCACTCCCACATGAAATAAATGGCACCTTGGAAATGCGCTCATAAGTATTCCCCCCCTCCCCTGACTAGCCTTGGAGCTCAACACGATTAAAGGCAAGCAACAGTGGAGCGCCTTCCTTCAGTCAGCCAGGTGGCTAGGGCCATGCCAGTTCTTCACTTGCCTTTAAATGCAGCTGCGTAGCCATCTCCAGAAGGGAGAACGGGGCTCTGAACTCATCATTTCCATCCTCACTAAGCAGCCTGCTGACGAGGGCTCATATTCTACAGGGTACGATTAACCCAGCATTGGTTCTGCCCAGTACAGACTACATACGGGAACCCACCAAGCAGCTCTGAAGCCTTCACCTCCAGCACCCCTCACTAGGAGGGGGAAAAAAAGAAAGAAAACACAGTAGGGGCCAGGGCGGGAAGAAATGCCAACCCTGATCCTGCCCTTTACAGAGCAAAGTCCCCACCCACTGAAAAGACAACCCCCAAATGCTGCAGTGGCAACAATGGTTGAGCAGAATAAGAAATTACCAGCTGTAGGAGTGAGATCATTAAAGGTTACAAATCAAGTAAGCTAAAGGAAGGGTGTCCATCTTTAGCACCAATTTACTGGTATAGCTACCCAAAAAATACAGAGTCATGCCGGAGGCCAACAGCTTGACAGAAGAAGGAACGGCCAGTTAACAAGGCCACATCTAGTCTGCTATGGCCAACAAGCCTCACATGTGGCAGACCCTGGCTTAGGTCTGAAGGGAGAGGAGCAGAGGGTAGCCGAAGCCCCCGTAGCCTGCAAAGGCTCTGGCAACCGCCCAATAGATTCTAGAAAGCTGAGGGAGGGTTGTTGGTCCTGTGAAGCTATTAGGTAGGCTTCCTTGGCAGCTTTGCTGGTGTTCGCAAGGGAGCAAACTCCCTGTGTTACAGAGGAAGGCTTTAGAGTGCTTCTTCCATGGAAGATCATGCAGTGTTCATTCAAACCAAAAGAGCTGGCAAAGAAACTTAGGCCCGGCAGCCTAGTGACTTTACTGGTTGCACCTTCTTGTTTAAAACCCAGGGGACCAGAATAAGACTAGGAAGAAAAAGCCAAATACTGTTAAATCCTCCCCCCAACCACTTCAGCTGTGTGTGCACATATGCAGACAGAGAAAAATCCTGCAAAGGGAACTACAACACCACCGAACACACAGAAAAGATGACAGGAACAACAGCAACAAAAGCCAGACCTTGGATAAGGCCTTGGGAAGGCACCAGAGTGTACATCTGGATTGCGGCCCAAGATAGGGATGCCCATCCTCACCAGCCATCTCCAAGGAGGCAAAGGACCCACATCTCTTTCTGTGCCAAAGGTAGAGAAACTTTAGGGTTTGGCCATAGAGTGAAATGGCCCCATGTCATGCACAGCCCATAGGCTGTTCTTCCCCCCTCTGCAGGTTCTCTTCTTTTACAAAAGAAGAGCAGAGCACATTTCGTAAGTCAAAAACCAAAACAGGAAGTAAATGAAGGAGCATATCTCATCTAACATCATTGGAATACGGCAGGGGAACCACCCAAGTAAGAACCAACATGATTAACTGCAGACACCAGCACAGAAGTCACCCCCCCTCCCATTATGGCCAAAGCAGTCTAGCACAACCTTTCTGGGTGATTCAACATGGCAATTCTGGAGCCTAGTCTAGCAGGGGGAAACTTACACTCGCCCAGTGCATTTGTGCGGCCAGCCTCTCTCAGCGAGTGCCGTGCCCAGCTCAGGACATAAACAGCAACGTGCCTGGTGAAGCAGCCTATGAATGTTGTCCACCCTGCTCAGTTGCATACATCCACACAGCACCGGAAGAAAGAAACATTAATTCAGCAAAGTAAAAGCTAACATACAAACCACACACAGCTGGAGGCACCCACACATGGAAGCCTTTGTGGCTCACACCCGCCACACAATGGGTTGGTCAAAGTTTCAGACGAGAGAAGCGGGACGTGCGCCTGTTTCTTGGCACAGGCCGAAGAGGCGGGAGTGCAGGCTCGAGGTGTCCAAGGGTCATGATGACTCATGAATTAGAATGGGACAATATTAGAACCTAAAGAGGAGGGTGAAGGCAGAATTCAGCTTTAGAAGAATGAGAGTGAGTGCAAATTGAGCTGTGAACACCAGGACAGAGCAGACTGCTGGTGAACACCGGAGTGTTTTGTTCTGGCGCTGCGGGAGAATTGATCTCCACTCTTCATATGTATTAAAAATACAATAAATATATATATAAAAATGGCCTGGAATTCCTGGGCAGGAGAACCACAATGGCAGTCCTTTCAGCTCCAGGACTACAGGCAACAGCCCTTGGGAGAGGGATGGACCGCTTGGCTCCTGGGCACCCCAGGCCTGTCTTGCTCCCTACCCTCAATTGAGCAAGTTGCCCTGCTCCTGGGCTTGCGTCAGGCTGTCTTTGCGATGGAGGTGATGAACCCCCATCCTCTTGGGACTGCGGTGGGGGCGGCCAGAAGGAGCCTTGCTCTTGCACTGCCTGCTTGGCTCAGAGACGGCCTCTTGGCTGTTCTCGTTCCCCCGTAGCCGGATTTCCTGTTCTTCAGCTGGGCTCCTGGGCGAGTCCATGTCTACACCGTCTTTGTGCTTCTCTGGTGAAGATGAACTGGGGAGCTCTGCCAGCCCCTCACTGCCACCCCCTTGCAGCAATTTATGGGCCTCCTCCTGGGAGAAGTCTGTGCCGTAGTCAGAGCACAAGTGGCTCCGGCGAGCCCGGGACTCTGTGCTGTCCGTGTCCATGCTGGAGTCTCTGCTCACGGTCCAGCTGCAGCTTTGTGCTGACTCCTCACCATCTGAGTAAGCAGAGGCTGCCCTCCCCAACTCCTGCATGGAGCGGCTAAAGCGCTTCTGAAGCTCCTGGGCTGTGTCGCGGCTAAAGGAAGTGCGGTTCACCAGCACTCGCTCTGTGGTGGGGGGAGCCTTGTCCACAAACATCCGCTGCCAGTTTGCCAGCAGGTCCTCCTCTGAGCTGGCTGAACTCGCAAAAGTGCTGGGAACCTGTGGGGGGCTGCTGAAGGGGCTGCTCTGCGAGGAACCATGAGCTCGGCTCACCTTCGGAGAGGGCTGATAGGAGCAACTGGAGGTGGAGCGCTGGCCTTCGGAGGCGGGGCTACTGGGGAGGGTTCGCTGCCTCTCACCGCCTTCCTCTTCCCCCTGAACCAAGCTCAAGGAGATAGCCTGGCGCGTGGCATAGGTACAGTTAGGTAGGGGGCTGTTCTTTGGGATCCTCACCTTGTCCTCAGAGAACTCAATCACTTTGCGTCCCGGGTACATAGGGTGGGGAGGGGGAGGGGTGGGATAGGGGCTCAACTTCTCAAATGTGGGCACCTCTCCAGGCAGACTCTCCAAGCTGTTCTGTGGCTTGCAGCCCCCATTCTGCTGTCTCCCTCCTTCTACTTCCTCTCTTCCAGACTGCCCTGAACTGGGACAGGCATCAGGTAGAGCTCCACTCATATCGACATGCACAAAGACATCCTCGGCAACGGGGCAGCTGCCACTGCCGGATTTAGCAGAGTTCAGCACCAGGGACTCGGGTTTCTCCAGGACTCTGGCGATGACAGAGGTGGGCACAACGTCAGATGGGGCCAAGGTGTGTAGGGCCTCCTGGCCAGGGCCTGAGGACTCCTGAGTACTATGCAGATGCTTATTGACCATGTCTTGCAGCTCATAGGGAAGCTATGAGGGAGGAGACAGGAAAGTTACACTGAAGCTCATACAGTGTCTAGCAAACAACAAGCTCTTAGGTTGGGACAAGCGCATGAAGCAATAGGTGGAACAGACAGCTAAGCCCAAACCAATCTCCTTCTTCTGATGTGCCATGCCATTAAAGGGCTTCTCTAATCACCTACAAATACAAAGAGACATCCATTTCTGTCCCAACAACAGAGCAATCTGGATTATTCCCCGGCTCCTGACCCGACAGACAAAACCTATGTAGGAGAGACATATATGCACCAGCATGAGCAAAAGACAAAAGAGCCGCGCTGGCACACATTAGGCCAACATTGATTGGTGGAAAAAATTATCTGGTGATTGCACTGAACTGAGTGACCAGTCCCCTTTACCAGAATCTGCAGCTCCCAGGGAGCATGTGGCAATTACAATCCACCGCCTTGGCAACCTGCCCCGGAAGAAGGATCAATTACCATCCTGGCACTTTCTGACTTTGAAGACAGAAAATGAGGGACACCCCCACCTCGCTGAGCTCACTCTAAGCCAGTTACAGTAAGGAAGGAATAGCTGGTGCTGGCACATGAGATTCTGTGCCAGGGCAAAAAGACCACGTGGAATCAGCAGAAGACGAGAGGTAGGGCTGTGGTGTGAATGAGCGTTATGTTCCAATACCAGATCTCAGCCCATTCTCGCCAACCGTGAGCTGCAGGGACAAGCTCAGATGCATCCTAGTCCTCCTTTATGAATACATGGCTTGTCCTATTAATAACATTTTACCCAAACTGATTCTTCAAGAGAGATTGAGGCATATATTTAGATAAGCATATATTTAGACTTAAGCTAAAGGTTTTCAAAGTGCTTCAAGGCATTCCATAAAGGTAAGCTGAATAAAAGATTGCCTGAATTCCACCCTCCTCATCCTACACATGAAAAGGAAAACTGTTCTTAAGACCTGGCATTGGACACACAATCTCTTTCATATGTTTTAGGTAATGGCATTATTTTCCACCCCCAGTGAAAAATTATTATTTTTCTTTAGGCACAAAAATTGGATCAGGCCTCAGCATGCAAATGCATTTCTATCGAAAGTGACCTAACCTACAAAAACCTCTGAAGTGTGACAACAGTGGTTTTAAGAAGTGTGTCTTGATATTGTACGATTTATTGCTGCTGCGTTTGATAATGTATTTTATTATTTTTACTCTCAGGAGGTCCTCAGTGGTGGTGGTGGGTTACCAGTGTATTTTCCAGGGAACCCTTGGCCCAAGAGAGTTTCCCAGCAAGGAAAGACACTGTGTCTCCCTTCCCTATCATAACTATTATTGTTTGTTTCAGTGTTTCCCAGCCACTTTGAGCACAGTGATAATATACATCACTTTGGGGGAGGGGGGGTCTATAAGTAGGGTTGCCAAGTGCATTTTGAGCCACAGCGGGGGACTCCTGGCTGGCAGCTGGAGTGCGCGCGCGCGCTGCACACACGCCACCCGGAAGTGACATGACAACGTCGGGCACGCTGGGGGCGGGGCCACGACCATCCGAGGGAAAACCATAGAGTTTTCCCTCGGATGACCGTGGCCCCGCCCCCAGTGTGCCCGTCGTGGTCGTGTCACTTCCAGGTGACTTGCACGTCAGGGTGGGGTTCCCCCCGGGGCCCAATCCGCTGGCGGCGAGGAACGGGCCTCTGGGGCAGGGGTTTCCCCGCCCCCTGGGGGGACTTGGCAAGCCTATCTATAAGTGAAGTAATAAATAAAAATAAATAAAATGTTTTTACAAACAAGGAAAGCCAGAAAATACCAGAAATTGTCCAAAATTCTATGACATTACCAAAAGCCAGCCCAGTTTTCAGTAAGAAAACATTTCCAGCAAGTGGAACATTCAAGGAACACAAGCAGCACTTTGCTTCTAGTGTCCTTGTTTTTGAAACAAGTGACTTTCCAATATGTGTAAGAAAGAAAGGGATGGACAACCCACTTCAACCCAAAGAATTCAAAACCTCTGTAAAGGAAAACAGGTGGAAGATACCAATCATAAACTGGTCTCAGAGACTGAATTCTGAAGAGTGGCATTAATTTGGTGAATATTAAGCAATAAGGCTGGCTGTACTATACTGTTAAGAGGAGCTCTGAAACGTTAGAGTGAAATGTGGCACTCACACAGTTGTGTACAGTACCACAGTGAGCCATATGACTGGTTGAAGATGGGTCCTTCTCTCCTCCTCTAAAGGCCTCAGCATTCATTACTTTTCATTTGGGAACCAATTTCTCAACACACAGACGTGGCACCACAGTGGTGTACCTCTATACAACAGTCACTTTACACATGAACATACCCATAATAAATGATACTATTATGGTGCATTCTGAGACTAAAACAGGAACTTCTACAGTGGCCCTAAGATGGAATGAACCTCTGTGAAGCCACTAGAGAACCTGCCTCTTATAAAGGCATGAAAATCACTAAAATGCAGCCAACCCCTTCCCCTCCATGCAACCTTTTATTCCTCTTTTTTGCTGCAAGGAGGCCTCTTGAAGAGATTTACTAAACAGTAACTCAACACAAAGCCACCACTCACATCAGCAAATTTGTGGTTCCGAAAGTGAGATTTGTTGCATTTCAGCAGCTGCACTGCCAGGTTACAGTCCTGTCGATATCGCTCCTGCCAAGATAACACAGGAATTCACAACCAGATAGACCGAACTAGCTTGGGATCTGAGGCAGAAAATCGAAATAGCTCGCCCCCCTCCCCCCAACACACACAGTAGTACAAATAAAGTAATTGACAATTTGGTGCCATTTAAAGGTCCCCCAAAATCTGCCACATGAGACAGATGACCGTGCTTAATAGTAGGCCTGACCCCAAATCAGTCAGTCCCTTTATTAGCATACAGACCCCGAATCACATCAACTTCTCATCTCTAATCACACTGCTTGTTCTTTAAAGTGGACCCTAGCCAATTCTTGTTTGGACAGAGAAGACTAAAACGTGCAAAAAAGCCTCCTCAAAAGGTTGTTTTGTACATTTTTACATACCGCTGAACTTCGTACACTCCCCTGCTTCTCCTTTATCATGCATTTCCTACCCATCTTGCCTGCTTATGTTTTAAGCCGCTTGGGCTGCAAATCAACATACTTGGGTTTAAACACTGCTTAAACCCCAGTGAAGTGATTTGGCTGAATATGGTTTATACAATAAAAAAAGAAACGAAAATCCATTTTGCTCAAAACAACCAGACTGAGTACATTTTGATTTTCCAGAAGACTTCCTGCCTTTCTTCCATCCTGTGAATATCTTCAGGTGTTAACATTGAATTCTTCATACTGAGATGTCCAGAACTGTGGAATAATTCAGATCCTGCTTCACTATCATTCATGAAAAGGGCAGTGTTGCTAATTTAGGATTTTAAAGACAGGGTACCTGGTTAGTGGCCAGCACCAGAGGCAGCACCTTGGGGTTTTTGCATAGGTAGGGAGGTGAAGTCTAATGATCAGAGTGCAGAGTCCACATTTGAGGGGGGGGGGGCCAAACTCCCCTTTAAACAAAAGACAGTGGTTAACGCAACAAAATAGCCAATATCAAATCCAGCACAAACAGACCAAATAGTTACATAGAAGATCTGCTAGTTGGCAGCTTTAAAAGAGGGACTGCTCTCATGACAAGCTGATTAGGCATCTCGTTCTTTTTCAAGTAACCAAGCCTCTTGCAAAAGCTCAGCTCCAATATGCTGCTCAGTTATGTCTTAGGGCTTCAGCTCAATTTTATGCTGCCGAGTGTCTTCTCTTGGAGCTCCTACTTCCTTGATCCCACATGAAGCTCATGCTCAGTTCTCCACATAGCTCCAACTCTCTGTACTTCACCAGTATGTATGTCCCAAGCTCAGGAAGGAATGAACAGATCACGTCTTCCCCCCACTCCACTTTCTCGCAATGGAAACACTGTCAAGGAACAATTACTTACATTAAGCTCTTCCAGTTTATTAATGGTAGTTTTGGCATCCAGTAGCTTGTTAGTGAGCTCCACAATCTCCCAATCAAGTGTTTTCCGATCCATCTCAGCTTTTTTAATCTGAAGTACAGGAACATACAGGAAATAAATCCCACTAGCTGTCTGATTTTGCTCCTATCCTAATCTCTTCCAAACACAGTCCCCAACCCATGCCATACAATACAAGCAAAGCAACAGCTCTGTCCCTTTCTCAGCTGGGCACAAGACCACGGAATCGGTTACTCTGTAGCCCTGTGCTTGGAAGACTCATGGGCACATCTGCTAGCTATGAAAACAACCTGTACATGAGCTATCCCTAGTACCGTTGCTTTTCACACCTGTTTGGCAAAGAGACCATGCAGAAGATGATGCCAGAAGGGGAAAATTATACGGTTGAAGTATGCTCCCCAGTTGTGGCAAGTCTAATGTAAACTATCCCTAACGTACCACAGACCCATCTTTTAAAATGGAGAGGCTGTAAATAAAAGACCTGTTCACCACAGTGGCAGTAACTATAACCAATGGACTAGTGACTAGCACAACTCCCATTTAGTTAAGCCCTCTCCTGCTCAAGCCTTTTCCTGTTCAGCCCAGCAGAGCAACTGCTAGCAGTGTGTCTTGGTTCCCTGTTCATCCTGCAAGTGGTGAAGGCACATCTCTGATGTTGTAGGGCAGGGAGGTGCAATCTACATGGTTATGTTTGCCCCTCCCAGATATGGCCTTTAATTATAGAATATAGCACACCTTCTGCAGACCTCCCTCCCCAATTTGTTTTCATTGTAACAAAGAAGCATGTTTCTAGTCTACTTAGTTATGGGGTGGGGGTTGGGGGGGGGAGAGAAAAGCACTCTTTTTCCAGAGTTTTGGCTTTAAAAGCAGATGATCAAGGTGCATCTCCCCAGGGTGTCCAAGTCTTAAGTTCTCAGACCATGAGGTTCAGTTCCTGTTCTTCCACCTTTATACACCACTTTCATCCTTCAAAGCATCTCACAATCCCCAACAAAACAACTGAGTATTCTGCAGAAAAACCAGACTTGGAAACCTAACCAAAGCATGAAAATTTTTAAAAATATATTCGGAGCAAACTGCACAGATTATGCAAATAAAGCAATTATTTTCTTACGTTACATAATTTATTTTAACTCTCTCAGTCACAAGGATGGGAAAAGAGCTAAAAAATATATTCAGTGCAAACTGCACAGATTATTATGCAGATAAAGCAATTATTTTCTTACATTACATAATTTATTTTAAATCTCTCAGTCACAAGGATGGGAAAAGAGCAATGCAAAGCCCTGCCCCTTGAAAGGGTGGGTCTCAAAATTTCACTAGCCATTTCAAACCTATCTTTACAGACTTAAGAACTAAAAACTGGCTTTGATTACGATAAAAACAGATTTGTGGGGTGTCAATTTTGCATCCAATACACTTTTTTATACTTGTGAATTGAAATCACAGAGTTGTGGAACACACACAGCATTTAGCAGCCCCCCCTCCCCCCGACAGAGATTTAAGTGAATAGAATCAAGGACCTAGTAATCATGGCTTTGGGCCTCTACCTTCTCCCATACCCTGCAAAAGACTGCTCTGGAACCAACACAGAAGATACCCGGGCAAATAACTCTGCCTCAGCAACAAATCTAACAAGACTTGCAACCACTGAACCAGCCCTCCCGTTACCTTCCTATGGGAAGAATGGAGGGGTGTGCCAGATGGAACATGAATGGACTCAGTAGGATGCAGATGCTCTGCAAAAAATGATCAGGGATGAATGTTGGATTTACAGTGGGATGAAAGGCCCCGCATGTGTGCACACCTCTGGGGCCGTGTTACATTACTCCCCGAGGCTCCTACAATGATCTCCAATTAAAGAGAGACATGCAAGGTGCCAGCCTCTCTGAAATTCTCAGCAGAGAGGTCCAGAAGAACTCTGCAGGGAATGCACTCGTGCTGTGAATGGGGGGGGGGGGGATAATCCAGTGAAGAGTGAAACCTATTCAAAGCAGAGCCTAATGCAGTGACTGAGGCGCAGAAAGGGCAGTTGTTTAAAAAGTACTGATATCTTTTGATACTTTTAAAATGTGTAACCACTCACAGAGATCCCAAGTGAAAAGAACGTAACACTTGCCAATGTACTAAATTACTGCCTCTCTCTACAGAGAGAGTAACACAGGCTGGGCTCCAACTGTTCCCCACAGAACGTCATCTAGGTAATGCCTCAATGTAACATGGAGCAGGACGTGCTAGGGTCTGTGGGCTACCACAAGCCAGGCCTCCAAAGCCAGATGCTTTACTCAAACTCAAGTCGCTGGCCGTTTGAGCTTCTGGGACCCCCCCAAGGCAAGGACAGTGCGAGTGGGGCTGAACAACATGTGAACAGCAATGGAAGTGGACGGGCTGAGACATGTGAAGAGGAGAAAGAAAAACACACAAACGAAAAGACGCAACTGCAAAAATCCAGCTTTGACTGAGAGAGGCCTGAGAGGTGAGCACACCCAGCGCGTGCCAGCGGCAGCATAGGAAGGGAGAAGAAAGAGAGAGGAGAGAGAAAAGAAAAACAGCCATGAGTATTATGAATGCACACAATGCACAAATGTTGGCTACACTCAGATAGCCCACAGCCCATGATGAACCGCCCCACCCAGATCTTGCTGGAAACAGCACTTCACATGTCTAGCGTGTTGTTTTTTTAAAAAGCTGACGGAAGACAAAACTACACATAGCTACAATGCAGAAGAACCCAAATGCCACAGCACACAACACAGAAGATCCCACCCCCACCCCTTCAGCAGACCACACCTGACTCACCAGTGTTTGGGTGTCACTGCACAATATTGCTATGCCTTACAGGCCCCACCCCCATCAAGACAGGGCTTGGCCCACCCACTCTCCCCATTACAAGTTCAGCCGGTCAGTTACCAGGGCGTGCAGCTTCTCCTCCAAGTCTTGATTGGTTCTTTGCGAGGCTGTATAACTGTTCTGCAATCTGGAGACAGAGGAAAAAATCAGTGTCCAGGTATTTAATAAAACTGAAGAACCACCAGGGTATCTGCAGTATGAAGTTAGGCAAGATATGCAGATTTATGAAGGACCTGCACTATGGCTTCAGCTTACAATTTTCCATGTGTCTGCTGTATGTGTGGGAGGGTTTGGCCTTCTTATACAGCAATCTCACTGCATCTGTTTGTCTACAGAGGAGTGGAATGCTGGTTGAAGAGAGAGAGAGAGTTGGGAGAGTCCAAAGACATGAAGAGAACAGATATTGTTCCCAGCTTAGGAGGAAGGTCTCAGACAGATCCCCCATTTTGCAGCTGAGGAACTTGCTTCTGCCAGCACAATAAATCAGGAAATGAGTCAAGTATCAACTCAGGCCCAGTTCTGAACCACAATCTCAGGGGCCCTCACCACAACACCTTCTCCAGTTCTAACTACCTACCAACCTCTAGGCAACTGGTGAAATAGGCTATATTCTACCAACTGCAATATATATTCTCCATGTCCCCCTTCTCCCAAGCAGCTTAATGTTCATGGGGGTTCATGGGGGTCCTGCAGCCTCCAGCATCAGTCTTTGGAGAGGATCAAAAAGGGTTGTATTGTTTACTGTACTGACTCACTCTGTGTAATCCACGTTGAGCCCATGTGAGGAAGATGGACTATAAATGACATAAACAACAAATAATAATGGGGGTATGGTGTAGATGGGCTGAAGACATATTAAAGCTTCCCTCAACAACCATGGAAAGCAGCCCACAAGCAGGAAGCTGTTGGGAGAGTTAGGAAGCAACTTGTACATCAGTCCCCTTCTGTCACCCTTGAAGTTCTTAGAGTGGCCATACCTACGGAATTTGTCCTTGAACTTCTCTAGCTCCTCACGATTCTGGCCCAGCTCCATCTCCAGATATTCTTGGCCAGACTCCAACTCCTTCTCCATTGCCTCCATTCTGTTGGTGACATAGGCCAGACGTCTATGCAGCTCCTCATTCTCATGCTGCAGCAACCTAAGGCAAGCAACACATCCCTCAGTGACCTACAGGTGCTGTAATCATCAACACACAGGTCTAGCCTCACTTTCAAAATCTGAAGGTCAAAGAGATGTACGTAGACAAAACTCAAGAGATGGTCTCCATTACCTTCCCTGTGAAGCTGAGAAGAGGCAAAGGTACAGAGGAGTTATCTTCTAAGAGGTGAAAAGATTTTTGCTGTAGGTTACTCATGTGTGCACCTTAGGAGTTTACACACGTCTCCCACACAAAACTCACATAACAAGCTCTGAAATGGCTGTGGTTTGGTTAGTGTTCTTATAAATGCAAAAAAACCCAAAAACCCATGAAGTAAAATGGAAAAACAAACACCTTTCCAGTAGGAAAAAGCCTCACTATGTGGGAGCATGTTTAGAAAGATGATGTGGTGCAGCGGTTAGAGTGCCAAGGTCCAAAGCTCCACTCAGCCTTGAAGTTCAATAGGTGATCTTGGGCCAGTCACTCCCAGCCTATCTCACAAGGCCATTGTAAAGATAAAACTGAAGAAGAGCTGAATATGTCACCTTGAGCTCCTTAGATGAAGAACAGATAAAAATGTGGTAAGATACATGAGCCCTGACCTGGATTCCCCTGGCTAGCCCAATCTTGTCAGATCTCAGAAACTAAGCAGGGCTGGTCCTGGTCAGTATTTGGATGGGAGACCACCAAGGAAGGACTGGAGACCACCAGGACGGAGACAGACTGGCAGGCAATGGCAGAACACCTCTGTTTGTCTCTTGCCTTGGAAACCCGAGGGGGGGGGGGTCACCATATGTCAGCCGCTTGACAGCACTTTCCGCCAAGATCTATGAACTGCACCCCTTATAACGATAGAAGACGTAAATAAATTTCAGACTTAGCGGTGTGTGTTCCCTTCAAGGGGAAAACCAAACTCTAACCAACCCTAAGACCGCCAGCCAGACAAAGAAGTACAGAATGCTCTACTACAGGGAAAAGGTTTTTCACACTCCTGGCTTGGCATTGCTAAGCTCTACAGGATTCCAACCAGCGCTTTCAGATTCTAGCTGGAAAATTCTAAAAAACAGTCCAGGAGGGAATGGGGATCAGCAGAGCTTGAGGCAGACACAAAAAGAGGTATTTTACAAGTGATTAAGAAAAGAGCAGTGTTTTTATAGTACTTGGAAAAGAGTCTTCTCTTCTGGAGCTTGTGCTGTCAAGGTTACACATATAAGCAGCAAGCCCTGAATACTGGCAAGAATACAGAAGAATGTGTATTCGGGACGGGGGAAAAACATATTTCCCGCTGGCCATACTGGAGACAGAACCTTACGTTCAGCAGCAGACCACCCAGCCATGCCAGCAGCTCCTTCTTCGTTTACAGTATCCAGATTAAACACAGCAGCCAGATGGGCTACACAGCTCAGGTGTCCTCCACTGGAAGCTGAAACTCACTTAATAATTTACATGGCGCCACCAAAACCCAGCAAGGATGCAGGGAATGAAATGAGTCAAAATAAACCCATCTCCACCTGGCTGACAGTCCTCCACTCATATCTCTATAGTCACATTCAGGCAGAATTTCTTCCACAAGTATTCTCCACTGTTTGGCTTGTTCTTCACTGATTTTAAAGGCAATAAAAAAAGACAGCTGCTGCAAATATCTTGTCCACCTACCTTTCACAGAGAGAAGGTGAAGTAAGTTCCTAAACAAGTTAGAGTAGATTACATTCAAATACAGGTGCTTTAAATAGTGTCAAGAAACTGAAAACAGATATTTTTTTTTAACTGAGCTGGTGCGTCCCTATTTATTCTTCCTGCTACAGCTATGTAGCTGTATAGGCTATATTCCTGCTATATAACGATTCCTCCTTTTTTGGTTCCACACACACACGTGTGCATGCTAACCCAGGCTAGGGAACTGAGGGACTAAAATCCTTTTGTCTTTGTCTGAGAGTGGCACATGAGAGGCCGATGGTATTTCAAAACTAACAAACTGCTTTATTTTGCTTTTGAGGGGAAATGGTCAGGTAAGTATCAGGTTTAGGATTTAGAAGGTGAACAGGCAATAGGAATGAGGTAACTTTGTATAAATATAACCAATAGATAGTTTGTCAAAAACAAGCTGCTGTTTAGTTATACAGACAGGTATTTAAAACTGAGGAGAGAATTTTCTTGACCCCCTTTACTAGGAGCTATCTCCGTCAGGGAAGGGCCACTTGTCCCACTTCCCTAACTCAGGATCCTTCTTGATCCTCTCTCTCTGCTTAATCTCCTTCACTATCAACTATCATTCTTAACTGCCACTCCTGTCACGCTCAACTGTAGAATTAAAGTTGAATCCCCTGTTACTCAAAGTTCTCAGACCAGGTCAAAGCATCTCTCCATATATATATGAGATTTCGTGTCCCTCTTGCCTCAATGTTCCACACGCCCCCACAGCCTTTGGGTCCCTCAACTGCCAGTCAGAAAGGGGTCCCTGGCCACTGGCTGCATTACCTTCGTCCCGCCCACAGAAGCGCCGCCCAGTCTCTCTGCCACAGTGTGCTGAGAGCCGATGGACGGGCAGGACACGCCGGCAGGTGGAGGGTCTGGAGGCTGAGCCCGAGAATGGTGGCGCTACAACAGTGCCACGCCCTTGCTTAGCCTGCAAGCCCCAGAGGGGGGCATGGCAGTGCCGCACCCAACTGGACCCAGTGCCACCTTGCTTGGGCGGCAGCCCCGAGAAGGACTCCCTCGCTCGCCGCCACTCCACCACCAGGTAGGGCAGTTGCTGGGAGGCAGCGAGCTGTGGCGACCAGGAGGCGTAGTGACCTTGCTTGGCCTGCGGGCCCCACAAGGGATCATAGTGGTGCCGCGGCTGACTGGAGGCAGCGCCAGCTTGCTCGGGCTACAGGCCCGAGAAGGACTCCCTTGCTCACTGCCGCTCCACCACCAGGGAGCCGCGGTGGCGAAGAGGTGGTGGCGGCAGCTTGCTCACCCTCCACAGCCAGCAACAGGTCAGGGTGCCATCGCATCCACAGCGATTGCCTTGGGCCACGGGCCCCGCCAGGACTCCCTCCCTCGCTGCCACTCTAGCGCCTGGTAGGTGCATCCCTCGGAGACAGGGAGCCGTGGCGCTCACTTTCGCCAGGGCGTGGAGGAGAGGACCTCCAGCAGCCTCTGTCTAGAGCTCATTTCATCTCTTTCTGCAACGGGCCTTGCAACTAGTTAACCATAAATCATAACTATCACAACAGTATTACAGAAAGGATCAGCAGTACTTTTCCAGTGCCTGTTGAGCTGCGGTGGCTCAAGTGGTTAAGACGCTGAACTGCAGGCTGTGGAAGGTCAGTAGTTCAGCAGTTCAAGACCCGAGTGTGCCGCATGACAGAGTGAGCTCCCGTCTCTAGTTCCAGCTCCTGCCAACCTAGCAGTTCGAAAGCAAGAAATTGCAAGTAGATAAATAGGTACCAGTTCAGTGGGAAGGTAACAGCGTTCCGTGCGCCTTGGTGTTTAGTCATGCTGGCCACATGATCACGGAAACGTCTTCGGACAGCACTGGCTCTTCGGCTTTGAAACGGAGATGAGCACCGCAACCCTAGAGTCGGATTCGACTGCCTTTCGAGCAAGGGAAACCTCTACCTTTACCTACACTACACCTGACATTTACATTAGCTATGTGATGGTCACATCTGTCAGTACATCATCAGCTATGCACGAATGAAAACTTGGGCACAGTTATCTATTAGATCTATTAGATCCCTTGATAGACGCAGAGAGCAATTATAAGCAGGTCTACTTTAGAATCTTACTCAAGTCTATTCAATGGGGCTTACTCCTAGGAAAATGTTCTGGTAAGAGTCTCAAAGTAGGAAAATGCCATCACACAAATATGATAACCTGGAAAACGGAAGATGAGCACATACAGAATTGCAAAACAACACGAGAACAAGAAGAGAGCAGGATACTTACTTCATCCTCTCTGCATCTGTCAAGGGCTCCTGTGCAAAAGAGGAAACAGAAGTCAGAATCTGTTGTTAAAATATATGGGTCAATTTCCAGAGGTGCAAACTGAGATACACAAGTGCCAGAAGGAGAGGCAGCATGCTTCCAGTCACAAGAAAAGAACTCTGGGCAACTCATATTCCACATTCTCAGAGGCTATCTACTGTAGGAGAAAAAGTACACTTGGAGCCCGTGGCTAAGAAATGGATTGGGGATTAAAGCTAAATTCTACACTCTCTTCTTCTTACAATGCTTCTTACAATGGATTTCTTACAATGCTACTTATTTAGGTGTTTGCATGCTTCAGTTAAAACATGTCAGAGGGCTCACAACAATTAATTTGAATCATTTACATTCAAATTACAAGTATGTTTGGAGAGGCAGGCATGCAACATCCTGTGCTACAACCCTAGTCTTCACCACTCTGACAGTCCTAACAAGTGAGAATGCCCCACAAACTTGGAATGTGCCTTCTTGAGTTCTAGGGAACAGCCAAGGCACTTCATATTGCCTCCCAATATCTTGTTATTTTATTACATTTTAATCACACCATTCCTCCAGTGTGCTCAGGTAGATGGTCCTCCTCCCAATGTTATCCTCACAATACTACTATGAGATAGATTAGGCTAAGAGACACTAAGCAGCCAAAAGCCACCCAGTGAAAGTCACAGTGGAACAGGGATGCTATTGCAACTTCCCAGCATCCTCAATGTTTGAAATTGGAAACAAAAGACCTGGGCAAAGAAATGGTAGCATTCTGTTAGAATTAACTTGACCAACGAACTTCTTTTTCTGATTAGAAAGTGGCCGACGGTTTGAGAGAGAGAGAGAACGAGAGAACACACATCCATAAGCCTGTGGCATTTACTAGGTTGTCCGGCCAAGCAAGTAAGCCACAACTAAGACTCCCCGCCCCCGCCCAAACACACACACACTTTGGTTCAGCACAGTGGCACTCTGCAGCCTTGCAGGCAGATAACAAACAAAGGCAGGAGTTTTGATAAAAGAACAAAGGACGTTAGTGACAAGGCCAGTGTCAGGGATAGAAAGCTGTTCTGTTCTCCACTCTGAATGGAGGTATCCCAGCAGAGCAAACAGTGGGGGGGGAAGCACAGGAAAAGCCTCACAGCCAATGCAGGGCAGCCTGGATGGCCCAAAGTCACTAGCACCTTCTCAGCACAAATGGATGGTTTACCAGAGAAGCAGGAAGCTTAGTTTCCCATTACATGAATCACTTCCTCATACAGGTAAATCCAAATGGAGACCAAGATATAAATCAATTCCTCTTAAACGACTTTCCCACCCCAGTGCCCAGAGCTGTAAGAGGAGGGCTTAACTACAGTCATGTGCTCCTTGCTCTGCCTTCATTGAGTACCTACCTTGTTCAATGCTAAGCTGAAGGAAGGGGGGATTCTAGGTGAAATACTGCCCCTCCTCCTGGGTCCTGTGTAAGGGGGGGTGAGAAGGAGCCTTTCTCCATGCAGCTTGGACTCCAGCACAGACTTCTGGTCAGGCCTGCAACCCAGAGACTCCCGACCTGCTTGCTGCAAAGGCTGCTTACTAAAGTTGGGCCCTTTGTTACACCCTCCCTCCTGACTGGGTGTCTTTGACAAAGGCAGATGCTGCTGATGCTCAGAAGACACCCTTGCCAGGCACAGATCAGCCAGACGTGGCGGCTGATACTGACTTAGATCCACCACCTGCCTCTCCTCCCTGCTGTCATATCTCACCAGGACGGGCTTCCTCCTTAGCCTCGCAGCCCTCTCCGTTTCCTCTGCTGGCTTCTTCCGGCAGGATGTCATTCCAGTTCCCTCATTCCTCCACTCTGCCTTTCTCCTGCTCAGGTGAGGACTTTTCTCGGCTGTCCACTTAGCACACTCAGGCCAACTTTCCTTCTGCCCTTCCGGTATGGAGCACCTGGGAGAAGTGGGTGAGGCCTGGCTGCTTCCTCCTCCTCCTCCTCCTCCTCCACGCTGTCCCAACGAACGCAAGTGGACAGGGCTCAGCACCCTGTGGGTGATCTCATCCAGGAACTTGGAGAACTGGAGCTTCTCTTCTGTGATCCTCTCCCTTCGTCTGATGGATTCAGCCCTGCTGGTGCTGTTTTGCTCTGGAGCGGGCTTACCCTGCTGCTGGTTGAGGCCCACCTGAGGGTCACTATACTTGCGTGAGCGGCAGCTATGGGCCAGAGTCTCCACTGAGCAGGACTTACGCAAGTTCTCAGGCTGCACTTTCAGCCTGTCTGTCTGCTTCAGGATGCCTTTGAGAGGTAGGTGGATAGGTGGGACGCGGGACTTTCTAGGTGCTAAGACTTCAGCGGGCTCTTTGAACATCAGGGAGCGCTCCAAGCTCCTGCTTTTGAAGGAGCAGTTTGGCTTCTGGCCTTCATCTCCAGAGACCACAACTGTCTCTACGCTCCGGCTCATGAACTTACCGAGCTGCCTGCGGCCCAGCCGCCGGCAGTGCTTCACACTCCGCTTCCCCGTTCTCCCCCTGTGAAGCGGCACAGGGGGCAGTGTCCGGCTCTTGAGGTTCAGCTGTGCTCTGCACGCTGCTATTTCTTTGTCACTGCTCGACTCCAGGGACCAGGAAGAAGAAAAATTAACGTCGCATACCTCATACCCATCCACCTGCTGTTTGAGATGGCCTGCCTTGGTGTAACTAAACCCCTTCTGCTCATGGACAGGGACCAGGCCTTTAGCGGCCCTGGTTTCAGTTACCTGACTCTGCTCTGCCAAAATCACACCATCTTGGTCATCGCGCAGGACGGGCGGCTCATGCCGAATCTCACGGTGCTGTGGAGGAGCCTTGCGGTAAGGCTTCTTGGAAGGGATGGTGCTTGTCATCGTCCCTCCTGCTTAGTTTTCACAACAGGTCACCTGCCAACAGCAGAAATGGCAGAGAAGAGGAAGAGAGTCAGAGACACCCGATGTGGCCTAGAGCCCTTTCCCACAGGGCAATCAATCGGATAGCTTGTGTCTCACAGCAGCCGCGTATCCAGAAAGCAAAGCAAGGCAGGCCAGAGCCTTGGAACGGCAGCTGCGGTGAAAAGGGAAACAGAAGAAGAAAAGCACAGCTGTGTCCTCCCAGCCAGCGAGAGAAGAACACCGGCTCATCGCCTGCCTCTGTTGTGCACAGGCACGCACACATACAGTGTGTGTCCAGATTATATATAGCAAACAAGAACAGGCCTCAGAGCGGCATATCGATTAGGCTCTTTAGGAAAGGCCATTTCCAATATGGAAACTGAAAGCCTTACAGGCAGTACTGACGGGCAAGGCAGGAATTATTGATCTTGGACTGTCACTGCCAAGAGGGACTACATGGGAGGGAGTCGCAGACATTAAGCATACAGACAGGCTGAAGGAGTTGCACACTTGTACTAGATAAAGCCAAGTCACTCCCAAAGGTGGGAGGGATGAGACAGCAGAAGGTGGCACTTTGACGGCCACTTTTGTCTCTAAGACAACTGAGAGCAAAGGTGGAGGCATTCTGAAGGCGTAAGAAATGCACATTGCTGAAAGCTGCTGAGGTACATTGCTGTGTAGGGTTTGGGAACCCAGGTCTGCATGCTGTTAAAAACCATGAGCCATAACATCACCTACCCGTATGATCCAGGGCTCTTTTTGTAGAAAAAGCCCAGCAGGAACTCATTAGCATAACAGGCCACACCCAAGAGCAGAAACTCATTAGCATATTAGGCCACACCCCTGACAACACAGCTCATTAGCATACTGGGGCGCACCCCCATGTTACCAGAAGTGTGGTCATCCAGCCATGCCCACCTTTTGCTTCTTATTCTGTTGACCTTGTTTGTGGTCAGAACCCAGGGCTTTTTTTTGTAGCAGGAACTCCTTTGCATGTTAGGCCACACACACCTAAAGTAGCCAATCCTAATGAGTTCCTGCTGTTGGGCGTGGCCTATTATGCTAATGTTCCTGCTGGGTGTGGCCAACTTGGGAGCCAGCCGGAACTCCGTTCCTGTGCGTTCCTGCCCAAAAATAGCCCTGCCCGTATCTAATTGCAGGACTACATATGTCACAGGGGGACCGAGAGCAAGGCAGGACTTGTGGTGTGACATTTTTGCAGACCCAACTGAAGCTTCCACCTTTTATTGAGCAGGTAAATAAGAGCAGCCCAAGGCAGTGCTCAACGTGCTGTCAGTCAGGACTACAATCATGTCGGCAGACACAGGATGAGAAACAAAGAATGTCCAAACCCAACCAGAAACAGGCCTGATGTAAGCTTGGCCTGGCAGCCCCATTTCCACCCCGTGGTCCTTAATCTACAAGAAGGCATTCGTCCAAGTGGCTCAAAGGCTTAAGGATTAATATTAATCAAAGGATTAGTATTAATCAAAAGATGTTTTATCCTACTTTATTAGAACACAAATGAAATCAAATCACAACAGCATTTAATACATAACGGCACCCAAGTACTAAAATAAGCAAGAAAGAAAACAGCATATTTCATAAAACATTGTAGAAACCCTATTTCTGTGTAAACCCGTTTACTTATTTTCTAAAATATTCTATTCTATTTCTATTCTATTTGATTTCTGCTATTCCTTAATTTTGGGGACACCACTGAAAAGGCCCTACTCCACCCTTGGCAGTTCCCTCACCTATGGATAATTATGAGTCAGGTCTCCCTGGCTGATCTCAATGGGGGAGGAGAATCCTGCAGGGAAGGTCCTCTCAGTTACACAAGATCCATGCTGCAAGGGCCTTACAGGCTATCCTTCTAGCTAAGCTATAGGGATGATCTGAACTACTTACCAGCACGAGTTTAGATGTGCAGCCTCATGAAAGTGGCACTCAATGCAAAGACCTAGAAGGAAAGGAAAACAGAAGAGGGATTACAACGCAGATCAATGCCACACCTGCCAGGTCCAGGAGCACTTTATCCATGATTGGGAATATTCTGTGTGCCAAACATAGCTTTCCCTAAGGACCTTCCAGTTTTCAACCTTCATTGCAAAAGTCACTTTTTTTTAGAACCCAGGAAGGGTTCTAAAATTTGCTTTGTTTTAAAAGAAAAGCACAGACCTTCAAGAAGCTAGACTTCTACAGCAGAATTGAGTCTATATATGTGACATGCAGAATGTGGCCAGAATGGAAAGTGAAGCTTCAAGGTTTGCACACCAAGGCAAGGTAGAATCAATCATTCCAAGAGGCTCGCCATAACCAGATGAGTTAGCATTATTCTGTGTTAGCTAAGCAAATATTTTTACCACACTACAGCAGGACAATGGTGTTAGAATTTGGCTCCTTGACCATTACAATCCTGGTTTATAACAGCCCGGCACCATTCTTTATTGAAGAGAGAAAATGGAGATTTGGCAAGCCAGAATCCTCTCCCCCCTTGTCACATACTGTGAGATTCAGAAGGCATCTCGCCAAGATGGAAAGCCTGTGACTGCCATGAAGCTTCATTTATCAAGAGGAAAACAGCTCTATGAACTGCACGACTATAGCTCAGACTGGAAAAAAATATCCTAGAACTCAAAACGTTTAGCAGAACATCTTCATAGACCTGCACACCTTCTCATTTACTCTATGCAGGAAAACTGATGCTTAACTTAATGATAATTTCACAGCTATTAGCTACTGCTCTGCTCAGTATTCCATCAAAAAACAGTGTTCATAATACTGATCAATAAGGACCTGCTAGATAAAATGAAACATTCTCATGAAGCAAGAATCAGTAGGCCACTATTTCGGCCCCTTCACACTTAAAAAAAAGAAAGAAGAAGAGCCTACAATGCTCTCTGTCTGTCTGTGTCATCTCTCAAACTGAGACCAACCTGGACTGCCAAGTGACAAATGCACTAAAGATACATTAAGATGTCCACATTAAGCTGACATTAAGCCGACAGTCTGTATGAACCCATCTTACTGCCAGGCTCACATTTGCACCTCGTTCTTGCTTCCTCCCCCTTACTTCCTTTTTTTTTTTTTGGCATGGAGAGCACTGAAGGACTTCTGGCTTAAAGCAAAAGGGTTACCCATAACATATCAATGAAAGGGCACAGATTAACCAGAGTTAATCCCCACCCCTGCCCCCAAACAAGCAGGGATTCCAGGCCTAAGCTAAATTATAGTTTAACTCCACAAATTAGAGCACTGAGAACTGAGATACAGCAGCAGACTGAAGGCCAGGATTCTAGGGTACACTATTGCCCTTCAAATGTTCAAGCAATCCCAGTGAGGTGGGTTACCGAAGCTTTCCCTGGCCCCGTCAGTGACACTCACCCTTGGAGATGGGGCTGGTACTTAGGGTGTGGAGCATCTGTACACACTCAGAGTAGGAGTCATAAACAAAGTTAATGGAACAGGAAGTCAGTAGGGCCTGTGCCGGGCTAGAGAGCTGCTGAAACAAGTCTCTGAGATGCCCTGGGACTGGCCCTGCCCCAACAGGCTTGTTGGCCCCTTTCCTTACTACAGTGTTGTCTTCGGGCCTCAACTAGTACAGAACAAACAACCTCACAATAGCATAGGTATTCCTGGGCTGCAGAGCAATAACTTCTCAGAGAGAGGAGGTCGAGTTCCAGAATACAGACTGACTCAGCACGGCTCCTACAGGAATCAACAGGCTCACAAGCGGGGCTCTGTATTTTCTGCAACTCCGTGCGAGCTCAGGACAGAAGAATTTGTCACTGGCCACAGAATTCAGCATCCCAAAGAGAAGTGATCCTAGCTCTTGTGTCAAGAAGATACGCAGATGATACAGTGTCCAGCGCCTTCCATGACTCTTGCCCCCTTTCCCCCCAGAACTATGCAAAGGAAATATATGCAAATCTATGTAAAGTGACACAGTTCACAAAGTTCAGGTTTGTCCTGCATGCACAATACGGGTGAGCATGGCACAGAATGGATTTCTTTTAGTGCAGAGAATACATAGTTCAGGAAGATTTCCGCATACTCGGTCAGAAGAGATGCTCTAAACTTCCTTATATTAAGAGTCTGGACCAGTGTTAACAATACTGCACTGGTGAATCACATAGGGAAGGAGACATCTACTAAAAAAAATCCTCTCCAGCACACCCGTAAACCATGCATTTTGCTGTCTTTGCCCAGCCACCTTATCTTCTTGACACAAGAAACATTATCCTTAGGACCATATATCACTCTCTCCTGCTACTTCCCACTAGAACATATGCTTTCCCTAGGCTATTCCCTCCCTCCCCAGACACCCTGCTAAATCCAGGGCACCGATGCAATACCTGTGAAAACATTCAAAACTTCCCCAAGTAGGCCTCTCATAAAATACAACTTACAGACCCAAAGTGATGTCCTGTCCAAACATGTTTTTCCTCCCCGCCTCAGAGTCAGCGATCTCATGACCGCATCCAACAGCATCTGGCCAATGACTCCTGAAACTTGAGAAAGGAAACTTTATGTGAGTTACTGATCAGCATGCGCTCTCAAGCAAGAACTCAAGTCAGCCATGAATACAGTCTATTCTAACTAGGGTTTTTTTGTGGCAAACATACATATGAAGCCCCAATTCCATATTATATTGGAAATGGTTTTTGAAACGATCCCCCTAAAGATAATTCAGGGCAAGTCTACATCTTATGAGCCCAGACTAAAGGCAGTAGTATTAAACCATCTGGTACACTTCTCAAGGAAGTATTTGCGATGGGGTAGAACAGTTCCATCAATTATGCAAAATGTTCATTATTCTTCCCTCTGTTAGTTTGGGCAGCAGTCCAATTTAATTTGCAGGCAAACAGAGCACAGATCTTCAGAGTGGGGTCAGAGTGGGGTGTCCCAGACTCTGCCAGAGAGAGGGCAGAGCCCAGACAAGAACTGACCAGTCAGGAGACAAAAAGCTGCAATGTGGTGCTCCATTTGGCGACAAAAAGTAATCTTACCAAAACACAACCAGAAAAGCCTTTTTCTCAAGCACGTTGCTGGAGAGGCGCCATATACATTTTCTCAATCATCTCTAGAAGCATACTTGAGAACAGCAGTGCCCATGACAAGCAAACCTATAATGTTTACAGTCAGGGTCACATGGCTGCACTGGGCCAGGCCTTTCACTCACTCACCCCCCCAAAAAAACAAAACAAACCCCAACAACACACCATTCTTGTCCATTGCTCATATACAAGCTATGTTCACGAGAATCTGAAGGATCCCTTGCAGAATGTTGCCTCCATTTGGCTTTGGACCCATCACAAGATGCATTTCACAAACAAGAAGTCATACTATTACAAAACATCTGAAGCAGCGGTTCTTTTGATGCTCTGGTTCATCAACTACAGTCACAGTTTACTCATTTTATGGTTATAAAAACAAAATCAGCTCTCTCAATTCTCAAGCACAAAACAGACTTAAACTACAAATTAGATTCAGCTCAGAGCCACTCACAGCAATGGCCACAACAGCATGAGCCAGCTAGTTCCAATGGGAGCCATCTGGTTAATAGGATATAAACTCTTCCTGCAATTATTCAGCACCAAGGTGTTCAGACTGGTTCAATTGTAACAACTTGTTACTTTCTTTCCTATTAGCAAGCTAAACACTGAAGAGAGCACCTGGAGTCCAGAAGCACCTCAAAGACCAAAAAGAGTTTCACAGTATAAAGCTTCCTTCGTCAGTTACCTACAAATCTTGTTCATCTCCAAGGTGCCACTAGACTCGAATCTAGCTGTTCTACTGCAGACCAACCTGGCTGCCCTGTGGAACTGTGAGAAATTGCTAACTTCGTGATGCTACCATCTTTACTAGGTTTAGACTGATTCGCCAAGAAGTGAAAAACAAGGTTCCGGTGGGTTCTAAACTACTCATTAAGCACTATACAGCAATCACCTTCTGTCCCAGTGACTGTATTTCAGCAATGAGAATAAGATTGGCCATTAACCCTTAATCTCATTTTCTGTAGTGAAATCAACCATGAATGGAACTCTCCGAAGGAAAGATTTGGCTGCCCAGGTTGATATTTAGAAGCATCAGAGAAAACATTACACCAAGAAGATGTTCCCCAGACAGACACTTTTAAAACAAACAAAACCCAAACACTTCCAGAGTTGTAGAAATTTCTGTCCTACTCAAAACAGCTTTCAACTCATGTGTGTTTCTATTCCTTACTCTTTTGTATTGCTTCCTTACACTGAGGAACTACTATATTATATTTTTATAGCACCTTCCAGCCTATAGACTTCTGTAAACGCTACCAAACTAGGGTGCAACACACACTGTCACTGCTCCCGATGCCACTTGGTTGCCTCTAGAACATAAACAGACGCATCATGCTGCAATACACGAGTGGGGGGAAAAACTGGTTACAAAAGGAAGTTTAAAATTGGGTTTTCAGGTTCTTAAAGATGCAGACACATTGGTCATATTCTCAGCCAGAAGTCTGTCTGAAAGGGGGGGGAAGCTTATCCCTTATAATTATTGTCATCTGTTCAGAGACTGGGTGTCCTATTTCTTCACAGGTATAGTACTCATTTCATGAAAAAAAAAATGCCACAGCAGAGACGCCCTACCATCACAGGAGGAGCTGCCAGGTCCATGAAGATAACATGGCTACTCCTACACTTGTAAATATGGCAAAAAGCTGAATCAAGTTTATGCTTCTGCAAAGTTAATGCTTTGTAGAGAGGCAATAAAGACTAATGCCTAGAGTGATGGATTTTGACACAAGATACCAAGGTTCAAACCTCAGCTGTGAAGCTTTTTTAAAAAAGGTAAGTACAGCAAGAGACCATGTCTTTGATATTTGGGAACTAGCACTCCCTAGAGGTGCCCCCCGAAAGAGCTCCACAGTGAGTGTCTGAATAATGTCAGTTCTGCTAAGCTAAGCCTCCCATAGTGAAAGGGATGTCATTTTTTGTGGCTGGATGTTCAGATTCCCTCATTAGTAAGTAGGGTACTTGTAAAGCCCTGCTCATACAGAAGTCAGGAATAGTACTGTGAACAGCATGAACATTAACAGTTGCTTGGGAAGGGGATCCTGATTTTCTGATGTCAGGTGTTCCAAGGGCATCAGTAATCATACTGAAGTACACTTTTTGAAAAGTTCTTGCATATTTTCCTCTTTCTCTAGTGGGAAAGCACATAAGCATTTATCTAATAAACAGGTTCTAACATTAATTTCCTCCATCATACTCTTTTAACACTTAAACAATGCTCTTCCGCTCCCAGTAGTGATCTACAAGGCGACTTCTCAGGGGGGGTTTTAAAAAAGAAAACATACACATGCATACTTGATATGGAGAGGAGTAAAGCTGTCATACTAAATATCTCCCAGAAGAGGGAGCTTTAGCTCTAGCCAGAAATGGGAGAACATTGTTACAGGGATCCGCACAAATATATATATATTTTTAAAAAATCAAGTTCCCATTCCTTCACTAACAATAAACCCGCTTAAAATAGGTAACTGACATGTGGGCCTCCTCCATGTTGTCTACCATCAAAAACAAGATGAAGAAAGGAAAAGAAAACACAAAGGCGCCAGATTCTACTTATCGAATGGGTGGGTCAGGAGGAGTCAGAGGATGCACTGCAGTAGACAAACCTGGCTGATCAGCCCTATAAGTCTTTACCAGCATCCTTCCAATTCCACACACAATCCCAGAACAATCAGACCACAGGTCATAGTGCCATAGGTACTTCTTACACCACGATGAGTTATGCTCCTGCACCAAGTAACTGTGTCCCACCTATAAACCTGAGGGGAAAAGATGCGACTGTTGTCTGGTCCTAATAAAGGATTTTACTCTGCAGACCCTCTGAATTTTATTCTAATGGACCAACACTGCTTTTTAAGTTATGCTATTCAGTGGTTCTGCTGCTGGGGAAAACAGATAGGCTCTTCTGATCTTATGCGTAAAGAGATCCAGAGAGAGCGTATGTTCTGGGAGGCAAGAACTAATCACAGATATTGGACTCATCAGCAAAAAGAATGGGGGGGGGAGAGAACATTCTGATTTACTTGGATAAACAAATCTCTTAAAACATTGGTAGTAATTTCTGTACATCGTAGCACTCAGTTGTAGCGGCCCTAATAGTTTAGACTAGCCTGATCTCATTGAAGTTCAGAAGCTAAACAGGGTCTTGCGCCTGGGTGGGAGACCACCAAGGAAGACTGGGATTGCTATGCAGAGGAAAGCAACTGCGAACCACCTCTGCTGAGCTCTTGCCTTGGAAACCCCATGAGACAGAACTTTATGGGGTCACCCATGAGTCATTCACAACCAATGTTCCCTCTAAGCTGTGGAGTCTTGTGAGCAAAAATCCTGACTTGTGAGCTACTGGCATTAAAGTCGTGGCGAGCAATTTGGTTACTGCATAGAGCCATCGTTCTTGAGCTAAGACAAAAATGTGTGAGCCGGAGGCTAAAAAACTGTGAGCTAGCTCACACTAACTCAGCTTGGAGGGAACCCTGTCACAACTTGACGGCACACTTTACCTTAACACTCAGCTGGGAATAAGAAAAGCATCCCACGAACAGGTTGCCACTCGTTCCTCCACAGTACAGAGATCAAAGAAGGAACCCTCAAAAGAGAGGTGGACAAATATATTTCACCACCAACAAAACCATCAGTTATAAACATATTCCCATACACACTATTTCCAAGTACAAAAAAAGCAAGAAAAGCACTCTGTTAGAAATAAAGAAAGCCACACAGGAAAAGGAGCGTCCCTCCCCACACCCTACACAAACTAAGGAGTCCTGTGAATTGCACAGATCATGTCAGTCCCATCCCCTGTGTGGACTAGCAGGGACCACTACAGGCTAAACTACTATTCACATTTGGACTGTGGGAACCAGAGGCACACAGAGAGCTTTCCTTGTGCACAAAAGTAGGGCAGCTGTCTGAACGTGCCTTAATCTCGTATGCAGCATTTCATATTCAATTTGCACAGGGTACAGAGTATGGTAGATCTAGGAGTTATCCATTCATTTGGCACCCAGCCCACAGCATGCAAACGGCACAAGAGTGAATCCACCTCAGTTGACCTGACTGAAGTGAAATTAAACACATGACCCAACCAGCAAGTTAGTCCATTCAGAAGGAACAGGCAATAGGTATTGTGCTGCAAATACTTAGATGGCAAGATATGCCCCTAGAGCAATCTCTCTGTTCTCCCTGCTGAGTCCCTCAGTTAATACGTATTCAACCCCTTTAGTAGCTGCTTAACATGAACTCAGCTCCTTTGCTTCCACAAGAAAGGAGAAGCCTGAACCTTAATATCGTCTGCAAACACATCCCAGACCCCGCCTACTTGCGTGCCTGCAGGCCACCAGGTGTGGCCAGGAATGGCACAAGCTATGCACCAAACACACCTTTGATGTGGAACTGAAAGCAGGTAGCCGCAAGGCACGAACAGCACGCCGCCTGCCGCCACGCTGACTCTAAACACA